ATTAAATTAAACTGTCTTTGGTATTCTCCACCTCTGAGATGATTAATAGACCTTCACTATCCAGTACAAACAATGTAGCTGTCCAGGTGTTTGTCAAAGTAAGCAGCATTTCGTAGCTTCTGGCAGGCACCTAGTGAACACTGTGTGCTCTACACTCCCAGCACCCAGAGGGTATCTGTCTGTCATTTTTGACTAATGTGATGTTACCACTAAGCTGTGAGCAAAACAAACCGGGCTGCTGGGATCCTAGTGAACCTAAATGCAAAGATTCAGAAGAAAACAATACAGAACACATTTGACATTTATTGTGTCAGTGACTCAGAATTTAAATTGATTTATTTTTTGGATATGGTAGAAAGGGAATGGCATAGCCATCCGTTAATTATTGCTGTTGGTGTCCCTGCTAGGGCGATGTATCCTCTCTATTTGTACTGGTGATTAATGTCACCAGCACAGAAAGTAATGGGAAATGTAACATTTTTCAGCTGTCATCAGAACAGGAGGGGAGGGAAAATCTTTCAAATGGGACACCTGTCAAAGGGCCTGTTCACATGAATCTGTTGTGGTAGAGCACAGTAAAACATAATAAAAGCATGCTAGAGCCTGCCAACAGCTTTGTTTAAAGGGTGTCTATGGTAAAAAACAAACAAAAAAGAAATGTGTATTTCTATATTGAATTTATATCCCACTCCTAATAACCATATTGATCTAGAAGTTTGTAAACCTACATATTGAAGATGCCCATAGGATGTACTGATAAAATTTAATTCAGCTCTGTGAATATGCACTTTTTTGTGTTGCCAACAAGTGAAACAAATGGCAAGCACATGCATCAGTTCATAATTAGCTTAAAGCAAGGTGCACATGGAAGGGCTTTACACAGTACAAAAGCAAAAATTTCCTAGCCTGCAAAAAAACAAAAACAGAATACCCTGTCTGATAGGGTTAAAAACACAAGTTTTAGTTGCACAACTTTTGCAAAGGACGCCACACTGCCTCATCAAGGCCCCTCAGTGTAGTGTGGTTTTATCTTTATATATTGGTTTGGAGCATATAAAGCAAAGGCTGAATTGGGTGCAGTTTTGCCAGGAGTAGCCCAATCCTCCTTAAAGACATAGGGACACACCAGAAGCCCAGCACATTACAATGGCAGCTGAAGCCCCCAGTGTGTCCCCACACCAAATTCCATAAGCGAAAGAAATGGCAAACGAACTCATCAATTCATAACTGGCTTAAAGCAAGGTGCACATAGAAGGGACTGTGTAAAGCTCTTTCAAATGAAGCCAATGACCTAGGGGTTATGAGGTTGCCTTACAAAATATCTAACTAAACCATTTCATCGTTTATTTCATTTAACCCTCTGTACCTTGTTACACTTAGGTAATAAAGTTTATCCAAAACCAATAATGTAGTTTTTAGTAGATGCTGGTGAGTTAAATCATCTGGCCATTTCTTACATTTCTAGGGGATTTTCTTGGCAAGATCTCTGCAGTTGTGTTCCCGAGCCTTAAAGCCTACCATAGCCCTTATGAAGGGTTGCCACTCTCCCTGTCGTAATGCTTTTATTTTATATTATGGAGAATGCAGCATACATTGCTGGAACACAAAGGAGGATGGGAACTTCAAACATTCCAGAGCCTGGAATTTCACTGTAGGAGTATCCAATACATATGCCGGAATCTACCAATAACTAAACTAACACTTCTTAGTGGACAGACCCTTTAAGGAGCCATTGTTTAAGTTTGGATCTATAACTGTACCATATTACGTTATTTTAAAACACAAAATGTGCATACTGTCCAAACACAGCATACACATCTGAATGTTGCACATCATGTTTTTGTATCGATAATGCGTATATCTACAGAGAAATATACCAAATACTCTTATGATTATTTAGAATACCCTTTAGTCTAGGTGATTCTATAAAACTGGATAAAAGGATCGGTAGGCACAGCAACCCATAGGTTATTATAACTATCAGTTTTCTTCTGCATTTCTGAAAATGACAGCCCATATTCTATTGGTTGACTAGGACAACACCTTTACAATTATAGAATACCGTTTTACAAACTACACAACATACATGCCAAGCACTACTTCATGATTTATCAATGCTCGCCGACTACTGTCCACAAAGAAAGACATGTGGTGTGAATAAAAACCGCATGGTGAAAGTTTATTGAGAAAATATGGCAAGAGTTTAAGGCACTTCAAACACTTAAACATAGAAATCAAAAAGAAATAGGACAAGCTATTATTATATAAATAAGAAGAAATGTGAACAGCTTATTTTTTTCCATCAATAGACATACACAGCCAGTAACCTAAAGTTTGATTTTTATGAACAAAAAGATATTAACACATAGCACTAGAAATATTTAAAAATATATATATATATATATATATTCAGCACATATGCTTAATGCATGTACATTTTTCTTTTTTTACAGACAAAAATATGCAGCAAATACTGAATTTCTCAACATTTGTAGATACATTTTTTTCCTTTAATATAAAAGTTACATAATACATACAGCCCAGAGGACAACTTTTCTTAGTCCGTTCAGATCTACTGAGGGCTCTCCCACATAGTACAGCTAAAACCAGAATACCAGCAGCCCAGCTGGATGTGGATACGTTGTTTTAAAACAATTCATCAGTACGGAATGAAGACTGAGGAGCAAAGTAATGCATCGGGTATAAATATTAAACCAGTAACAATAACAGAGGCACTATGGCACTAACACTGGAAAAAGTGGGAACAGTTCATAGCATCTTTAGGACTTGACTTTGCAAGTGATAGTCCTTGGATCACCTATGTAGTCCAGTATCGTTCTATAATAAACTCATTGTTTTATAATTCCAAGGGTGTCCAATGGCAGGAGAGAGCACATGCTCAACATAGCTTTGTTCCAGTTATCAGACTTCCCATTATATCTACATAGATATTGCTTTAGTCTGCTGGTGCATTCAGGCACGAAAAACAGGTACATTCAGCATCTGTCAGACACAGGTACAGGTAGCAGCAGGTCAGAGATGGCAAATACATTTTAATTGTCGAATGGTCCTCTTTGTGTTGGACTGGGTGGAAGTTTTTTGCTTAGTCTGGGTGTGCCCTGTAAAAAAAAAAAAAATGAACATTAAAAAAAATAAAAAATAAAAATACTTAAAACATGCGTATGATTAAAATTTACTAAGGGTTTCTTGTGGCAGAGCCATCACTAATGTGGTTTTTCCATCCTATCGATGCTCATAGATTGGCAGGTAGACAGGTCTGTAAGGCACTGCCAACCTCTACTCACCACCAGACCTGCCATGACTAATTTTCCTTACTCGGGCAATTGTAAGCAGCAAGCAATTGTAAGCAGCGGGTTCACTTTAGTAGGGGCCTCGCCAGTAGCACATACTCACCTTCCTTTTACTCCTTCACTACTCCATTCGGCATCAGGTGGAGAAACAAAATACCCAGTACTTCTGAGCATGGGGAATAGGTGACTCACTGACAACTTTCTAAACTGTTGCTTAAGTGCCCGATGTGTCACATAGGGGTAGGCAAAGAATCGGACACCCTGTGCAAACTTTGCAACTTGGAACTTACTTGGGCTTTCGTAAATGAGGAAATAGAAGGTAAGATTAAATTGTTGCTGGCGCTGCTTAAAACCCAACTCTAGTTAAAACGTATGTCAGATTATTCACATGCTGTCTGTGTCCCCTGTTAGAAAGATTTACTCTCACTGGTATCACCAGAGGAGGAAAAAGAGGGATCTCTCTAATGTGGACAGAGACTCCAAAAAAAGCACATTTAGCAGAGTGAGGAGGAGTTAGAACATATGTCAAGTTTTTATTACTCTGTGACTTCTTGTCCTGATGACAACCATACACTCTCATTTGTTGTCTTGGAATTACCAGAACAGGGAATGAGCGGAATCTCCCCAATGAGGACACAAACAGCAATATAAACTTCACAGAGACTCTGAGTTTCACCCACTCTATTGAAAATCTAAAAGGTTTGAGTGGAATTGGGCTTCAAAATGAACTGGTTACTTCAAGTTAAGGGCACAGTCATTCAATGATTTTACAGATATAGTGGAACATTTTGATAAATCCATAATAAAACACTTAATAGTTGTCCATTCTCATTACTATTCACAAGGAGTGCCCGCTGATAGATTATCACAAGTAAAAATCCTATGGTGTATGGGTGCCATAGAGGTCCCAATTGTTCCCTGTTCAGTTGGTCTGCATTTATTGGTTTTCTAAGGACAAAGCTGACCTAGTGCTGCAATAGAAGTCTTAAACAATGACAAGTATTTTTGGTTTTTGGAGCAAAGAAGAAATAAGCACAAGGAATGGGGTGAAGGCACTGCATTTAGAGGCAACAAAGTATAGTAACAAAAATAAGGAATCTTTCTGATCTATAAGGAAAACTCTAATGGATCTACTTGACTGGTTTTTATTATTAATATTGGTAAAACTAGCTAATCATTTCTGCATCTGACAAATGAAATGTAACATTAAGTCACAATGGTGGATGAAAATGCAGACACTAATTATGGCAAAATATGTTCAAAACTGGAGAAGAATACAAAGAATGAAGAAATTCACAACATTTCATCCAGTTTTAGCTGTTCTATGTTTAGATATGTTGTACTTACTGGTGATGGTGTTTTAGAGAAATTGACGTGGGCATAAAGAAGGACAGCTATATCTTTATGACCGGCATCCAAGGCAATTGACATAGCTGAGCTACCATCCTATGATAAACAAGAAATCAAAGATGTGTTTGAATAAACAGTATTAAAAAAACTAGCAATGTTGCCTAGAGCAAATAACCTTTTTAGTATGAGGACCTTACCAAACAATGCATTCAGTTTTTTACCCAATTAGGTTGGCCCTTGCTGGTAACTTGTTTTCCTGATCTAGCAGATCAAATTTAAGCAAAAGCCTCACATGGAAGCACAATGTTCCTACCAATGCTCTATGGACACCTATGGCATGTAAAGGGACTGTGGTGCTTCAGGTAAGAATAAAGCAGTCTACATGCATCATGCACTTTTAGTGTATGAAGTCCCAGAACTAATGCAGGAGGACTTGTAAACCTGCCCCCCTCCCCAGTCTCACACTTCTGTTACTCTATTTAGACAAAAAAGGTGACCCAGGTTAAACTGTTAAGTTATTTGAAAGGCTGCTTCAAGATTTTTACTCCACTGTTAACAACCCAGGTCCATAAGGTTGTACAAGTTAGTGATCCTCAATTAGGGTTAATGAATGTGAGTTTGTTTTGTGGGGAACAGAGTGGGAATTAACTTACATTGTCCTCTAAGGCAGCATTGCAGCCAAGCTGGCCGAGCAGCAGTTTTACTATTTCTACGTGTCCGTGTTCACTTGCACACATCAGTGCCGTTGAGCCTTCATCATCCTGAATGTTCACATCTGCTCCACAGGCCAGGAGAGCTTTGACCATGTCTATCCTGCCATGACTCACTGCAAGCATTAAAGCAGTCTGGCCAGCCTGGAAATAGAAAACACAAAATAAGAGCCTATGTCAGCCCTGGCCCAGAAATGAACAGAGAACACAGCTACAGATGTGAATAGTTTCCTTAAAGAGCAATGTAGAAAATAGGATTTAAATGTGAGGCAATAGATTTCTTGCAGGTGAACTGAATAGAAGGAGCTGTTCAATATGCTGTACAAAACAGCAGAGAAAGTAATCCATTTCCCAAGACAACATGTAAGAGCTGAATACACAGACTAGGTCTCTTAGCCCAATCTGCTCACCATCTGGACTGAAGGTATGAGCTGTTAAGCCACAATATATTCTCATTGATGGCATCCATAATAAAGTAAAGGGCTCTGCTGAAGTAGGAACAGTGGGTGAAGCACCACATCAGTATTTTCGCACAAAAAAAAAGAAACAATGTCAGACCTACCAGCACAAATGGGACCCAGGTACAAAATAAGCCCTGTGCCCTGTAATTTTGGCTACCCACCAAAACAAGAGCGCATTTTTTACTCTTTGTATTATGCATTGTACTGTAGTCACCAACCCACCGGTATCCACAGGGTCATTAGAACACACTTTAGCCAAAGTCAAACAAGTCCTTAGTGATGGAAACTTTTTGCTGCAACTACTATTTTGTTTAACTACCTCCGGGCCGGCCGTTGTAAAAAAACGGCCAGCCGGGGGGTCTCTAGATCTGAGCGAGCCCGATATTTAAAAACAGGCAGCGATGTCTGTCAACATACAAGCGATCCGCCGGCTCTAGAGCCGTCGGATCGCTTCTATGGGGTAGCGATCGGTGCCCCCCCTCTGTGGTCTCCCCCCGTCGTTGTCCCGCTGTGCCCGGTGCGAGCCCGGGATCAGCATGGTGCCTGTGTCACAGGGGATCAGAGGGAGATCGTTACACGGGTACCGTCCGGTCCCCTCTCCTCTGCAAGAATGCGGAAGTGTTGTATATTACATCACTTCCGCATTCTTGTGTCACTCTCCAGCTTCAGAAGCTGATTGAGCAGATCTGTGCATCATCAGCTTCTTTTGGGGGGTCCCTAGATAACATTATTAGCCCCCGTATGTGATAGCAATAAAAGTTTAGTGGGGAAAAAAAAATTAAAGCCCCCCCCCAAATTTAAAGTTACACATAAAAAAACGAAAAAATGTTTTCAAGTCCCCACCCATACATACACGCGTCGGGGGCGCTTACGTGCAAAAAGGACGATTGCGTCCATTACGCTGCACATGTTACATATCGGCGCGAATGTCGCAATTCTAGGCCCATCAATCACTGATAACACTAAACTGATGAGCGGTAAAAGCTTTTAAAGTGTCGCCTATGGCCAATTTTGGGTATGGTCGTTTTCTGCGATTTTGCGGGTGCGCGCAATTATAAAGCTTGACATGTTTGGTGTCTATTTACCCGACGTGACCCTGAATTTTATATTTTACCAAAAAACTGAGTAATAATAAATGTTTCCTAACAATGTAAAAAAACGCAGTGGTGATTAAATACCACCAAAAGAAAGCTCTATGTGTCCCCAAAAAATGGTATAAAATTAGTTTCAGTACAGCGTTACATGACAGAATAAACATCAGTCAAAGTACCGCAGCACTGAATACTGAAAAATGGCCTGGCCAGGAAGGGGGTCTAAACACCTGGTCTTCAAGCAGTTAACACATCGGTTGTACAGAGATTCATAAAAGGAAAGAGCAGCAATGATAGAAAAATGGAGGCTATCACAGGTGACTTTAATAACATACACGTGTCATGTATGGCCTGTAACTCCTCCCTATAGGGTAGGGATGGTGTTTACCCTAAAAAGAACTCCGATACACTTATGAAATGGCAGGTGACATTTGATATTTGTTGGGAGTCTGGGTATATAGCAAAACAAAGTTGGCAATATAAGCACATACACATTTTTATGAAAAATTATTCTATAAAACATTTGAAATCAGAAATAGATCATGTAAAACACTTAAAGGTATAAACAATATTCGGTTCATGGATTTATGAAGTTTGTCTGTCATCATAAGAACTGAAAACATGAATCTTACCTGGCTGGCTTTGGCATTAACATCTCCACAGCTGAAAAGCTCCCCTACCACACGCATATCCTTGGCTGCTTCTACAGCTGCCAGAGCAGCGAGCATGATGGGAGTGTAGCCAGCCTTGTTCTGGTGATCTACATTACACACATCTGCAAAGAAAGAGACCATTCAGTTATGGCATGAGATCATTAGACGTAGAACAGGAATATAAATACATCAGTTAGCCTCTTATATGAACGATCTTGCGGTTCTCAAGTTCAAATCATTGCTACAATCCCAATTGTAGAATCTGAACTGCTTATAATGAAAAAAATACTGCTTTTTTTTCTTTCATATGCTTTATCGAGTAGTCAATCTACTGTCTATCCTTTATCAACAGAAAACAAACAAAGCCAAAAAAATGCTTTCCAGCTATGACCATGGTGAAAGTCCACTAAGGAGATAAACTTTCTGATAATCAGTCTTCCATTTCAGATCATAAATGGAGGGTTTGTAAATGAACAAACACTTGTAGATCCCTACAATTTTCATATTTGTATTAAAAGGATATTTCCAACTATTAAAGTGCACCTCTTACAGTGTCCCCTGTTTAATGGCTCACTTTGAGGTTATGAAGGTTTACCTTGCCAAGTGTATTTTTCACTTACTGTAGCAGTTCCATGACCCAAGTTTTCCCAAGCAGGGGGTCTAATTAAAACTGAACAAGTGTTGCAGTGGAGCAGCTTTTCTTTTCAGTCCCAGGTGTCAAGAAACCTTTGTACATTCAAGCTCCACATATGCCATTATACTGGTGCTTTTCCTCTTGGACAAGCCACTGGACTGCAGCATCAATGCAGTGCAGGTATAACTTTATTTGTGCAACAAATCAAACACTGCAATATTCACTTATCATGTATTGAACCTATTATGCTCTGCATACCTTTTTGAGTGAAAGCACATGCCCATGTGTATGGGGCCAAAAAAGTCAGAATCTGTTTGCCAACTGTGCCAATATAGCAGTGTCTCAGTGAGCCCTATTACATGTAAACCACCATAACAATGTGGACAGTGGCCTAGATGAATCATACAGTGTATGATAATATAGTGTATGATAACAGTAATATCAAAAGATAAAATAATCTCTTGGTGCGTCCCTCCATGCATCTCATACAAAAAGCTTTGTTCACATGACTATATGACCTTCAAGCACTAACCTGCATCCAGCAGCATCTTGACAATCTCAAAGTTGGAATGGGAGACGCTGTAGTGAAGTGCTGTGTTTCCATTGCCATCAGCCATGTTGATAATATAGCGCAGAACAGATGGTGAAAGATCAGTAAATGCGGCAACGTAATCCTCCACCATGGCAGGAATGGCAGATTTCTGACTCGATACCTTGAACCATTCGTTTTGGATAGTGTTCAAACACAACCTCTGTCAACATAAAGCATTAAAAGCTTTTCAGTGGTAAGGTCATATTTCAGATAAACCAGTGGTTTCTATTAGGAAAGTAATCATCAAATTATTTAATCAGCAGTCATTACTATAAAAATTATGGTCTATTATATTGCTGTGCTAGGCTAAATATAGCATTGTTGCTATTCTCTGTATTGATGGAACAGCCCACAGTGTGAAGAACCCTCAGTAACTATACAGTACTAATGGAGAACACCATCCGAGTGTCTTAGATCAAAAGAATGTGGAAATCTGACAAGTGCTCATCATCATGGTGCACACTGGGTATTGTGGCAAACGAAGAAGGAATGCTAATGGTATTGATATACATCACTCCTACATGTCCCTCAAAAACCATTGGGTGAAGTTCTAACCGGAACATCAGGCTAATTCAGTACAAAGTACAAATCTTGGGGTAGGCTGCCAATATATAGTACGACTTAAATCTTAAAAATAAATTCAAGAGCCTTTACTATTAACAAAATGTCTCTTATTTGTGTATCACTCGGCTGTAGATCCTCAAATCATCTCTGAATTGGTACTGACACTGTCCTTCCATCTGGAGGGTGGATACTTTTGTTCCCCATGGTCCCTGTGTTGTTAAGTAGTCACCACTCCAAGCTCGCTGCCGTGATTATTATTATATAGGACTTATATAGCGCCAACAGTTTGCGCAGCACTTTACTATATAGGGAAGACATTACAATACAATTTTAGACAAGATAGTAAGGAGGGTTCTGTCTGTGAAAGCTTACAATCTGGAGTGCAATTTTGTTAGTTTACAAAATTAGTAAACTAAACATGAGATTGTAGTCCATCATGGGAGCGAGATTGGAGTGGTGGCTCCTTTACAACACACACAGGGACCATGGGGAACACACGGGGTAATACACAAATAAGCTACATTGTTGTAACAGTTAAGGTACTTGGATGCATTGTTGACATTTAATTCCTGAGCTCGTCACTTTCAGTAAAAAAAAATATATACTTTGTAATGTCCCCCTAAAAAAAGAGAAGTTTCTGAAGTGAAAGCACGTCTAGAGATTACCTACTTACCACATCCTTGTTTGCTAAAGCTCGTGGGTCATCAACTGCATCTTTTAGCACGTTGCATGCAGATACCATCTTTTCACTTAACTCATACCTGCACATGTATAAAACGTTGGTATAAGCCAATATTTTACCACAAGAAGAAACTGTTTCAAATAAGGTATTTTGTATGATTATGTTAGCTACAAAAGAAGTGAATACAATAAGAACATGATTAAGTGACCTACACACAAGGTTGATACTAGAAATGCACCGATATATATCGGCCAAAAATGGCACTTTTGACAAAATGCCGAAAGTGCAATTTTTTGGCCGAAATAGTGGTGCATCCGTGATTTCTCTCCTTCCCACTGGGCGCTGCTCCGTGCACCGCCCCACATCCTGTGACAGCTTGTCAGGATGGAGAGCAGCGGTGTGGGCGCAGACAGCTGTCATTGCTGTCACAGGAGGCTGAGCTCTCCTCCTGCCCCACCTCCTGTGACAGAGTGTCAGGATGGAGAGCGGGTACAAACACTCAGTGATCGCTGAGTGTTTGTAAATAATTGAGGACAGAGTATGGTTACTATATCCTCAATTATGAATGAATGGGAAGTGATCTACATCACCTCCTGTTCATTCATGATTGTGGTTATAGTAAACATACTATATCCACATGTAATGAACAGGAACAATCAGTATAGAGGATTCCTGTTCATTGATAACAGGGGATGCAGAAAGAGATTGAGGACTCTGTGTCCTCAATCACTTTTTCTATTTTAAAAGGGAAATATCAGGGGTCTGCTTAGACCCCTAATATTTCCCTGAAGCACCTAAAAAGTAAAGTAAAAAATTAAAATATTTAATAAAAAAAGAATAAATAAATCATTAAAAAAATCAAAAGTTTATAAAAAAATAAAATATTTTAAAAAATGTGAAAAAGTTAGAATAAAAAACATTTTCCGTTTTGGCCTGACTTTTTCCATTTCTGTTTTGAAATTTTCATTTCGGGGCACCTCTAGTTAATACACAACACTTGATTAACATGTTAACAATACTAAAAATATTAGAACTTAATTTTTATATAAGTCTGCTCATACAGGCTTTTTAATTATAATTAAAAAGCCTGTATATAACACCTTTAATATTTAACTGATTCTGCTGCAACAGTATATGGATACCAAATGATCATATTTGACATGTATCCAGTAATCTTAAGTTTAGGTCAAGAAGGTGGCTTTATTGTGGGGAAGGTTAGGTAGCAAGCATAAGGGGAATGCAGTCTTCTTCATCTATTGCCAGTAGACCAACTTTATTGCGCTGCAGGTCTAAAATAAAGAGAAGTTGTTATATGTCCCTCTTCTTAGCAGTAATTCAGGAAAGAAATGCACCTTTCTCTAATCTCCACTTTCTCTGTCTCGCTCTCATCTTTCTCAGCATTACGCAGTGGTTCAGAGACTCCTGCATCTCCACTTTCCACTTCTTTATGTATGACTTCAGACTCCTCATTAAAGACTTCTTCCTCTTCACATTCGTCATCTGATTCAGTGGAAGAACTTTCATCTGAGCTAGAATCATCACTGGAAGTAGTTTCATACCTGAAAAAAGGAAACTGTCAGTTGAATTTTTGGTTCAACGTTTAGGTCACACTTTAGACTACGTTATAAAAGTGTACTATGTCCCTAAAATGATAACAAATTTAAAGAAAAGTGCCACCAGGACCCATGACTGTGCAATGTTTGAGGATGTAGAATTAGGGGGAGGGTATTTTTGCTTACACATTTTTGACCAAAGCACTTTTGCATTCAATATCTTTTCTACAAGTATATATTATTTTTATATAATAATTTTTTGAGTAACATTGGAAAAAAGTTAAACAGGGAAGTTCATAAACTGCCAGGAGGACCAATTTTTCTCAAATTGGGTAAAGTGTTAGGCGAGCATGCTGTTAGGTATCCCATATTGAAAGTGTTGTGGATGCACCTATAGAGATCAATGAGAGAGGGTGGTGAGGATTGTTTCCATTTTAGGGAGATAAGACATCTATCAGCAGTCAGTACATGATTAGCTAGTTTGGTTGAGTGTCTGGACTTGTGTGGAAAAGGAAGACCCAACAAGCAGTGTACAGGGTCCATGAGTACCGGGAAATCAACAAGGTTTCCAAGTAGTGTCATCACCTGTCACCAGTAGGCATGAATTGGAGGACATTTCCAAAATATGTGATATAAGGTACCTGTAGCATTGTTGGACCTCCAGCATGTGGAGGGAATTGTTGTGTTGATCAAGTGTAAGGTCTGGGGTATGGTACCAGTGGTATGGGATTTAAAAATTTTTTTTTTTATAGCCTTTGCCTTTAACACACTGCACACATTTAGATTATAGTCAGGAACATTTTTACTGCGTCGGTACTATTTCTGAGCAGCAGAGGGGGGATGTGATTATACAGTAAATCCATCAAGCTCAGTGCTCCCGTTTTGCAATATCTTGTTTAGCAAAACTGATAAATCTCACCACTAATACATCCATAATAAACTGTTAGCATTATAAATAAGCCAGCAGTGTAGGTATTTTAGAGTATTAATACACACTTGGTAATAAAATTATTTAATGCAGCCAGACCTCCTTCCATTATATAAAGCATTGCTGGTCAGCACATATCTTGGGAAGAGGCACACAAATGACATCATGAAGTATTTATTAACATCCTGTACTTACTGCAGTAACTAATGAAATTTCTGGAGATTAAGATTCCCTGTAGGGACAAGTGTCTTAGTTATGTGATCTTATGAGCTGAACATGAGGTTAAAAGGTATTGTTTTCCAATACACGAGGCCTATTTTTGAACAGCTTTGCATATCCCTTGGCTCTCCACAACATCCTCTAAACTGGGAAAGCAAGTGACAAGCAGAGACAGGTTGCAGGTGTTATATATATATATATTTTTTTATATATAGAGGCTTACCCTCCATTAATGCCAACAAACTGAAGATTTTTCTTGGTATTTGAAGACTCACTCTTCTCACTCTTTCTTTTCATGATGGATTTAAGTGTATTCTGACTGCTGGCACTCACTGTTTAAAAAATGAAATTCAAGTTATAAAGTGCACAATTTACTATTACGTAAGACTGTTTGAATTGCTAATAGAAACCTTTTTGCTTAAACTTGAAAAGGAAACGTTTGAAATGATTATAATATCCATTTACCATAAACAGAAGAAGCTGGGTTTTCACTGGATAACTCTGTTGTAGTGACAGAGCTGACTGTAAGAGCTGACTCAGTGCTACACTCTGTTGTTTGAACAATATTCAGCCTTTTTAGTTTTGAAATGCCTGCTTGGTTTTGAAGGCCAACAGTTTGAGCACTGGAAGTGGCATACTCAGTGGTTACCTGGGTCTGGGATATGCTGTCCACATTCGTTCCTAATGAAAATAAAGCATATGAAAATGATTAAACTTGAACTAAAGATTAGAAACTATAGATCACAATGTTATCAAGTGACTAAACCTGAACTCAGCATATTGAATATCCTGCCCATGTACCAAAAAAACTGGATCACTGGAAAACTGGACCACTGGATTAGGTAATCTATTTCACATATATACAAGTTACATATATACATCTATACAAATATGTGTCTTTTTTTTACAAGCATATATAATTGCTTTTGGTTGTTTATATTTTCTTCCTTAAAGTATATGTAAAATCTAATCTTTTGGGCGGTGGGAGTGTTACAACCTGTAACACTCTTTTTGCCCTGGTGACCAGCTTCAGTGACAACTGTTCAAAAGGATTTCTTGTTGTGTCTCCAGCACAAGTGAAGAGAAATCCCCAAAAAGGGACACGGGCAGAAAAAAAGAAATACTGACTGGGGGTTTATCTAATCCCTACTCTATCCTAGACTAAAAAATGTTTTTGGCTTTAGATATACTTCAACTGTCCTAAAATAAACAGCAGGTTTTCCTAAAAGGTACCCGCAGATGAAAGCTAAGGCCCATAGCCTATCATTTGTGGGGGGGGGGGAAAGGTGATAAGGAAGGCCCCAAACCATACTTTTTGGGGGGGGGGGGAAAGGTGATAGACTAGGATGAATCATTTAGAGTAAATATGATTGCCTGCCCTGACATAAGTACCTAAGCTTTACACAAAGTGACCTCCATTGCATAAACATACATGTTCAGGTTATATAAAGTATAAATGTATGTATAATTGTATTTCAACTTTTGCAAATTGGGATAACACATCGTTTATATTTGTTTCATGTTCCCATTCACATAGCCAGTTAAAAAAAACACTCTCCTCTTTCATGTTCCCAGCTCCCCATTATTTCCCTTCATGTCCCCAGCTTTCCGCTCCCGGACCCCAGGTCATCTCCCTTCATGCTTCCAGCTCCCTGTCTCCCCCTTCGTGTCCGCAGAAGCTCTATTCGGCACTGGGCAGCAGTTCTGTGTGATGAGGGGGCGGGGATTACACCGCTCCCACTCATTGGCTGCTGCCCGGCTGGATGAGGCTTCACGCTGCGCCCGGAACCAGGTGAGGGGAGCAGCGTGAAGCATGTAGGGCCCAGGACAGGAGGAAGAGGTCCCGGGACTGACATTAGCGGTTACCGGGATAATAAATATCCTGGTAATCAGAGGTCACCAGGGGCCCCTTCCTCCTGTCCTGGGCCCCCTCCAAGTGGCGGAACTCCAGGGCCCGGCGACCTCTGCGACCCTGGTAGTTCCGTCACTGCACATAGCATTGGCATAAAAAAAAAATGCTTCTTGCAGTTTAAATTGTTTTTACTTGGGTTAGGGTTTTAAGAGTTACCATTTCTAATAGCTTCTATTTCTTTGACATGTTAGAAGGGGTCTAAGGTGGCTTGCCCATTGAATGTTAATGAAGTTTATCAGATCAACACGATCCTCAGATTTCAGTCCCAAGTCTTTCTATAAGGACAGACCACTATGAAAGGGCTAAGAAAAATCTGGAATCAGCCATCTTGCCTGATTTAACAAAACATCGAAAAAGGTAAGACATTTTTTTTTAAAAGTCATTTTTCAGCTGTGTGAATAGGAACACATAACAAAACATATAGAGGGATTTTCTCAAATTTGACTGCAAAAGTGGAAATACACTTTAAGGAATGGACATTGGTCCATCATTTAATCTTAACCGAAATGTGGATGCTTATACAAAACGTGCTCGGTCTGTACAACATAACTCAAGTAGGCCTACATTTTTAAGAAAGCAAGTACCAAAAGAAATGCCAAGGCTGCCAATGCCGACCTCCTCCTGAAAATGCAAGTTGACAGTTACTGGCTTTATTACTTAGTTTATGAGTGACTTACCTGGAACAAGCCTGCAGTGAGTGAAATCAGAATAAGTAATTTGTATACTTGTTCCAGATCCATGACCAAGTAAATTCTAAAGCTTGGAGTTGCTATTTAAACAAGTGATGTTGTCATTCTTTTGCTGAAGAATCATCTCCCAAAGTCTGCTGGGAAACAGGCAATTCCTCTCGCCAACCTCCATGTCTCTAAAGGACACAGCAGTGATGTGGAAGTCAACGGGATTCCCCAACAATAGAATAGTATTTAACAGCGTAGTCAGCAGGAGCTGTAACTATTTACAGTCTTGTTTTCAGGTTACACGTTTATTTTGAAATCCATATTGCCGACAGAGTCGCTTGAGTGAACGGGCCCTAAAAGTAAGCAAATTCTCAAAAGAACCCCCAATCGAAAATGTAAAATAATAATAATAAAAAAATGATGTGTGGCCCCTCCAAAACACATACCAAGCCCTTATCCAAAATAGAGGTCTGGTATGGATTTTAAGGGAGGACCACTTGCAAAAATACAAAAATTGGGGTTCTCCCCTTCACATTAGAGTCACCTCTTCCAATTAGGAGCCCCCTCACATCAGAAACCCCCATTAAATCAGGACCCCC